AGTTTGTCATGGTTTTCCGAAATGAGGGAATCTGTTGTTACTGAGTGTCATACAAACGGGAACCTGTCCTGAAAATATTAAATCCCATAACTGATTACTACTTGTCCTATATTATATAGAATATTAACGAGCTGTCTGTCTGGCTAGTGAAATAACAAACCAATTCACTGTATTAGCGACTAGTTACAAGGGCGCTCGCGAAGTATGTGCACCAAGATGACGCACAACCTGAACCCTAACTTGATAAAACTACTATGTTCAGGTTGTGCGCCATCTTGGTACACATACTTCTGTAGGTCCGTTACAAACTTATAACACGATGGAAGGATGCCGACGGAAATCCAACGTTAACATTTAATCGGTTGGGAACTCCAATTGTATTGAATTCACTTCACCCTGGCTGTTCTACTGGCAATGTCAACCGGACCGTTCGCTTCATATTTTAAACAGCAGCTATATTCAATACATGTTTAAGCTTTTGATCAGTCTTTTCATTGGGAATACTTAATCTGCAGACTCATCAGTTTACTTTGAGACAACTTTCATCGAAATACACAGAGTCCCGAAGTGATCGAGGACAATTATGTCATACATAGAACTGACCTTCTTTAGTTGTGATCCTGTAAAGTGTAAACTGTCGTACAACTTACACCCCAGCCACTTTGGTAGTAATAAAAAAAACTTGATACATAAGAATTCTGTATACCCCGCCCTACTCCAATAGTTACCCGCGCGTTTACTTTCATTTACTGGCTCGTTACTTTACTTTAAAGAAGGAATCCATTATTTATACAAAATGCAGCAAATGCCGAAATAATAATGTCCTTGTATACCTTGGCATAATTTACAATTCGTTCGTCCACTATTACACCCGTTTGATTAATTAAGCCCGTCGTGATAAGAACAAAGGGCATTCCGCTGTATTAGTACGACGATTTTGCGACGGAATGAATGTTTACATAAATCTCGCAATATATATTTTAATAATATTTCAAACAGATATGTGCGATGAAAGAAATACATTTTATATAACAAAAAAAAGTAAAAGAAACTAGAATTCTCGGGTCGTTCTAAAGGTCGAAACATGATGATCGGTCGTTGGGGATCAAACGATATTTTTGATATTAATGAAAAGTCAAACAAATTTCCGTTCAAATACACAAATTAGACAAAAGTATATATCTGTATTCGAACGAAATAATTTCAATTCGACAATGAGAAATAAAAAACGAAAAATGCCAATATGATCCCAAAGCGGAAAAATTTGACTCAAAAAAAAGATTTTTTAAAAACTTCCTAATTTGACAGTAAATTTATGCGTTGACGCCTCCGACACTCAAAACATATTTGGATATGAATAAGTAGTTGAAACATTTTTTCAATCAATTAAAGCTAATGGGCAAATCTATTTTAAAATCCGAATAAAAGACTTTTAATACGCTACAATTATGAAAAACTGTAAATCTTTTCTAAAATAAATATTCACAATCGACTTTGGGGCTCAATAAGGGAGTGAAGGAATAGACCAATCGAGTCGATTAGATTACAGTATATCAATATTTAAACTAAAGACTTTTAATGCAAATTTTTTCTAAAACAGCAAAATAAGTATATATGTCCACGGCAATGGCTACATGTATTTAGGGTTGGACTAGAATTTTAATTGAAAAACGAGAAAGCAATTCTGAATAATATGGACACGGAGGTCAGAACAAATATTTATCCTTAATTTCCAGAAAAATCATATTTTGAGCTAGGACTGTAAACAGGTACCGTAATTAACCAGTATCGATAACCGCGCTGTCCTACCCCGTGTTATTTGACGATCATACATGGAGTGAATCGAAAAACCAAATGATTCGAGTCACACACAGCTGTAATATCAAAACTTTTACAGCATTGGTATCCTACATGTAGCTTATTAAAACCACTGGGAACCGCTACGAGTAATTTTTTACTATACCAGAGTAAATAACGAATCCTATAGTTATGTAAAAGTGATAATAGACTTCTATTGACAACAATCTTCTTACAATTGGAAATTTCAAAGCTATTAGTCCTGTAATCAAACTTTGTCGTTGAATTCCTCTCTTTTCAATCTCGCTATTGTACATTTAAAGTACTTCATAATGTGTTCATAAATAAGTATTATATTAATAATAAAGAATAGCAGAAATACTACTCGAAATATAAAGCAGCAAAATTCGCCCCCCAAACGACAAAATTCCTCACTAGGGCGGAATTATCCCCCCGTTGGTAAACGTTGAATTGAGGAGAAAAGCGAGTTTTCCACAACAAGAAAAAGAATACCAAATACATAATAACAAAACATCCATGAGTCGACTTCGTGTCCAATAGTAATGTTACTAAAAGACGATTTGTGATAACTACTGATGTTCATTTTGAAGTTTCTCATAATTTGCCCCCTAATCATTGCACACTAGAGCGTTTTTGTTTCACGTGTTGTTATGCTTTGCAATATAAAGCATTAGTAACATTGGAAATTTGACATTTAGTGTTTGTCGCCTTAATGTCGAGTATTGTTTCTGCGCGATCTTTAACGCCGACTTCAAAAGGATAATTATTACGATACCTTTGTTTCGCATATTTACAAAAGGCGAATTGGTCTGGCATTGTTCGATTCAATAGGACATACAGTGTGTACGGAGTGCCATCTTTTATTGACAGTATAACAGTTAGGACGGCGTGAATTCCACAGAACGGAAGTTCCACCTCATTGAATTTTATAGCGTTGGAATTGCATGGATATCGTGTGAGAACTTTTCGCAAATACAGTAGATTAGTCTGTTATTGTACTAGGAAATTAGCTCGGGCAAAAATGGTCACGGATATTCTATTTATGACGTGTGATAGTAATTATGAGGCGCTCAATTTCACTCGAAGTTAACGTTTTGGGCAATTATTGAATACTCTACTTTTCAGAGAGCGTAATAGTGGAGATTGATCAGCAACAAGACATATAATATTAATATATATTAAAAATCTCAAGTGCTTTTTCAACACAATCAGACTCGTAATATCCTTATATATGTCGTAAATATATATATACCGGTATGCAAAATCTAATAATAAGTACGTAGTGTTTTGCAGAAAATTTTTATATCAAAATATTTTAGTTTTGAGTTAATGCGGATGTAGTAGCCGTAAATACAAAATGGCGAGTCAAACTCTTTCAGTTAGCTCCAATTACACAAATAGTATTCTCGTTTTAATTAAAAAAATGGCGGAAATTTCTGAATTTACAATCAACTTGCTGGAAAATCATTCCCAGTTCATCGCAACGTAAAAACGAGATATCGGTCAGAAACCGAAGACTTATCGATCGAAAGTTAGAGGGTCCCCCAAAACAGCGTTCTTACTCCATAGTGACGACACCTTGTGTCCCATCACTAGTTAATTAATAACTCTCTAATTATACGACATAATTCATCCAAAATCAATAGGGTTCTGGTCCGACATATGATTTTGCGTGAATTATGTCGTATAATTAGCGAGTTTTTAATTATTAGTGATGGGACACGCGATGTCACTACAGAGTCATCAATCGAAACCGCAGTTTCGATCGATAAGTCTTCCCGACCGATATTCTCATTTATTATTCAGAAGCTACAGTATACATTATAGGTTTTGCGTTCATTTCTTGATGTTAGTTATAGTACATGCTTAATGCAATGGATTGAGGGGTTCTCTTGTAGAAAACTACCTTCCAGAAAAAGATTCGTGAAAATTTACATGGAACAAGAGAACACATTGTAAACAGAATTATATATTATGCAAGGATATTTTTATTTCGGTTCACCAGCATTTTGTATTATTGATAGAAGCTTGCCCATAGTTAAGTGACAAACACGTAAGTGAAAGTAAACGCGCTAGTAAACATTGACGCATAGAGCACAGTGAGGTAGGTCGAAATTTATTGTATCAAATTTACCTATTACTGCCAATTTGCCTGAAATGTATGTTGTACGACAGTTTACAAAACACAACTAAAGAAGGTCACTCCAGGATTTTGTGTATTTCGATGCAAGTTGTCTCGAAGGAAAGTGACGAGTCTGCAGCTTAATTGAGTATTACTAATAAAAAGACTGATCACTTGAACATGTATTTGTTGTGGTTGCTGTTAAAAATGTGATAAAAATGATTCAGTTGACATTGCCAGTAAAACAGCCAGGGTGAAGTGAATTCCATACAACTGAAGTTCCCAAAAGATTGAATTTTAGCTTTCCACGGCATCACTCCATCGGGTAGTAACTGGTCGCTAATACGGCAAATTGCTCTGTTATTGTACTAGCCAGACAGACAGCACATTAATGTAGTAGTAATCTGTTAGGGGTTTCTCCTTTGTATCGAATTCAATTACAACACAACAGAATCCCTAATTTCGGAGACCATGCCGAACTTCGCGGCACGTCATTCTCCGAGTTGATGGACCGGAAGACAAAATTTGAAGCGAAAGAATATTTGCGGGCCAGGAGAGACCGGTACCGATACGTATAATTGAGATACGAATATAATTTAATTGTTACGAATATACAAACACGTGCACAAACTGAGATCATGACGTAACAATTGGCGGTACTCCCGAACTATGTGAACCAGGCTAGACCTTAATTTATTCCGATTTTCCTTGTTTTATTTCTATTACGAGTTCGGGGACTGTCTGTGTTAGCCATAGGTTTCAGTCCCTTTAGACAATTTGATGTAAAATGGGCGAACAAAATTATTTACATCCATATTGGCACACATACTTCTGGAGTGACCAATTGGCGGTATCTAGAACACAACAAGACCGACTATTCCGCACTAGTTCGGCGCCGCCATATTAAATCGTTACACAGGCCGTTACTTGCCCACAGACCGCGCTATTGGAACCACTGTATTAACGAATAGGTATGATCAGAATGTCACAAATTTGGATTGTTTGCCCAGAAAAATCAATTATTGTTTTCACGATATGAGGGCAAAAGTTAAATCGTCAATCAAATAGGCCGATAAGAACTTTATATTTATCTCTCGATGTAAAAATGTAAAATCTAATAATGAGTAGACTGTGTTTTGCAGAAAAATATTCGTAAGAAAATGTTTCAGTTTTGAGCTGAGGCGCGTTTAATCAAATACAAAATGGCGATGCAAACTCTTTCAGCTGGCGCCAACTATTCGAAAGGAATTCTGGTTTTAATCAGAGAAATGACAGATACTTCTGACTTTACAATCAAAGTTGCCGGAAAATCATTCCCAGTCCATCGCAACGTAATAACAGCTGCATCAAGCTATTTTAGAGCGATGTTTTCAAGCAACATGAAGGAAGCCCAGCAAGGTTTCGCTGACATGGAAACTATGAAGCCCGCTGTAATGGAGAAATGTATCGACTTCATGTATACCGGCGAAGTCGAAGTTCAAATTGACGAGATTCAAGATATTCTGCATGCATCGAGCCTACTACAGTTGGATTCATTAACTGAACTTTCCTTCGAATATCTACAAAAAAATCTCTCGGCAGACAATTGCCTCGTGGCGGTATACTTAGCCAAACTTTATGATCGAGTTAATTTACTGAGCATAGTCGAAAAAATAGTTTATGATAAATTTGATGAAGTGGTTTCTACGGACGATTTTACAGCCATTTCATGTGACGACATCGCTCGTTATCTTTCTAAAGCAGATGCGAACTATGATATAAAATGGAAGGCAATAGTTACATGGCTTTCAATTCGACAAGAAGAAGTGGAACGTACTCTGCCAACGCTATTGAATTCGATCAAAAACATCCCGGCCAATTTTTTTATCGAAACGATTCTTAATGCACCAATGGTGTTCAACAACAAACAGTTAGTTCAATATATAGTTGGACTTTTATTTTCAAGTACTGAAGAAATCATAAAAAATATCAGTCTCGAAAATTTCATGAATTTAAGAAAAACCTTGAAAACACAAAAGATAAATATAGAAGGACAAGTTGCAAAAGTGATGAATGACTTTATGGCGGGAAGGTTTGAACAGCTTGTCGAGAGAGATGATTTCGTCGAGTTAAATAAAGAAGAAATCCTTTTATTGTTTCAATCCCCGAGAATTAAATGTTCGTCCGAGAGAATCAAGTGGGATGCAGCTTTGAAATGGTCTAAGAATCAACCAAACAGTAAAAAATTATTTCCAAAATTATTTAAATTAATAAAACTTGATGATCTTTCACTGGATTTCATCGGGAAAATTGTTCGAACTGAACCACTCGTCAGAAATTCTCATGAATGTACCGTTATGTTGATGGATGCATTCTCTGCGCACGGGAGCGTTTCAAAGCAGCCCAGCGCTGCAGCATCACCCAGAAGAAATCTAGATCAGCACATTGTCTTTTTAGACAAGCAAAATGGTCACATTAATACTTGGATTATTTCAAAGAAAACTTGGCATCGACTACCCAAAGTAAAAGAAGGCGACGACATGCAGATTGTTGATGTCAAAAACGATCTGTATGTATTAAGCGGATCTGATCTATTTCACTGGGGAGGGAATGATACTTCCTGGTCATTGAAGACCAACAAAGAATGCAAATCTGGATATCGTAAACTAGTCGCTTTTCAAGGCAACATATATCTAGTACAAAGAAAATTCATGCAGTGCTATGATCCTATCCCAAATAATTTCAAAGACAATTTACCAGGATGTACATTGAATTATGGGTTTTGTGCAGTGGCAACAAGTGCTTGCATTTATGCCATGGGTGGACTCTATTCAGATCAAAGAGTAGAAAGATTTAATCCAGATACAAAAACTTGGTCAAGACTTTCTCAAATGCTAAATCCAAGGCGCCACGCTGCAGCTGTTGAATTCAATGGAAAAATGTATGTGATTGGGGGCTTTGATGGACATCGTGTATCCAACTCTGTTGAAAGTTATAACTTCGAAACCAACACATGGACGAGAGTAGCAAGGATGTGCGTTCCCCGATTGGATCTCTTCGCCTTTGTGGATGATAAAAGCATATTTGCAGTAGGTGGAGAAAATGTTGATGGCGTTATAAACTCCGCTGAGGTCTACGACCAGAATTCAAACCATTGGTCAACATTACAAATAGATGGGCTTCCAACGAAAGGTTCGCTTACAGGCTGTGTTCACTATATGTAAAATGTTAACATTTCCAATGAATTAACGCAAAATAACGTTATGCACGTAACTCAGATCGTTACTGGTTAGCAATGTTATATAGCCGAGTGAGTTCCGGGATTCTATGTTCTACAGCTCTGCCCTTCATATGTATTCTCAGAATGTGATTTAATAATCGACTGAAGTCGCTGAAGAGTTAATTTTATTAAACTCGTTATATTCTATTATTATTCTGGCATATTACTATATTATATCTCACATTGATTAGTAAACATATATACTAATATGATAATCAATTCTGAAAACTATCACAAGTGTAGATTTAAAACCCCTTGGAACCTGAATCTAATAATATTGTTTGGCAATGTTTTCTTGAATGGGGTACTGCGCAAAAAACAAGGACCGTTCTGCAGCCATGGGAGAACAACTAGCCTCCCTTTTGTTAGCTCATAAACTGCGGTTGCCATGGTTACCCCGCCTGTCGTGTCTGGAGTCGTTTGCGTATTTGTCAATGTGTTTTCGGCATGCCTAAAAATAAACTACTAACTAGCATAATCAGACATTACCAATTTTTCATGTGTGTTCCTTGAGCTATCCGCTTAATTAATATCTACTATACAATATAATTTTGTTTATTTCCTGGTGTTTGTTTTTATACGTTGCTCCCGTGCGCAGATTTACCAAGCTACAAACGCATTTCTGTGGAATTCTGTCCCTTCATATTGTTAGATCTCAAGTTATAATGAACTCAGTGAATTTGTTTACTTCTGGGTCATCACAATTGAACTGATTTAGACAATAGCCTGGATGTGTTATTTCACTAGAAAATATGTTACAGCAAAAAGTCCGCCACAGAGATCGATTGTAGCTTGACCTCGATTTGTTAAATTTACCCTAGTTTCGAATAATGCAATGTTATTCTTTGTAAATATGGGTATGTATTTGTACCAGTGCAGTGTTTGCCAAATCCACCGTCACCATCACATTGCAGTGCGATTTTGAACTCAAACCAAATTGAAATATCCTCACATGCGGGATTGGGTTAAATGATAATAGTGGTTCCATACGTATCAGTGGCTGTCATCAAAGAGAAACGCTTGTTCGAAGTGAAAACACAATAAAATGTGACTGACACGTACAGGTTCCATTGTTTGCGAACACCACTAGTAAATATGTATTGACTCGATACTTTTATCGCATATATACATATGTTCCACGTATTCAATGAAACACTGATCACACGAATATCGGTTCTTCACGACAGATGTAGCAGTACCTCATAACAGTACAATTGAATGATCTCTGGTTTTGAGTCAAAGTGTAGCCGTTTTCTAGTTAAAATCTATCTCGGCAAATAGACAGAATAACAAACAGCATTGGGTATTACGCTAACAACATAGTATACTCGGAGATATTATTACATTAATTGAGTTTGGCGTTTTCTTACATAATGAATTGCACAGTTTGCAATAAAGAATCTATCTAAGGAAATCGAAATGATGTATGATAAATTGTTTTTGAAATTCCGTTGCGATAAATTAAATATAGTTTAAAAGATGAGAGCAAATATAAACCACCTGACTTATATCATCATATATACCGCGTTACTAAATAACTGTATTATTTGCGCACATCAACTGAATTGCGTTTAGCGCAATGGTTCAAGTGGTGCTCTTGTAGAAAACTTTCCTCCAAAAAGAAGACTTGTCGAAAGAAACATGAAAAAAAAATTGTAAACAGTATTATATATTATGCAAGGGTATTGTTATTTCGGCATCACCGGCATTTTAAAAAATATTAAATACTTGCGCAAAGTAAACTTACGAGCCCGTAAATGTAATTAAACGAGCGAGTAAACATTGACGCATAAAGGGGTATACAGAGAGGTAGCATTTTGTTGTATCAAGATTGCCTATTACTGCCAAAGTAGCTGGGATGTTGTACGACAGTTTACTAAACACAAGGACAATACCATGTATGACATAATAGTCTTTGGTTACTCCAGGATTTTGTTTATTTCAATGCAAGTTGGCTCATAGTCAAGTGTCGAGTCTGCAGCTTGTATTACTAATACAGCGTGTATTATTAATAAAAAGACCGATCAAACATGTATTTGATTCGAGTTGTTGTTAAAATATGATGGAAACGGTTGAGTTGACATTGCCAGTACAACAGGGTGAAGTGAATTCCATACATCTGAAATTTCCAACAGATTGAATTTTTAACTTTTGAATTTCGACACTAATTCCGTTATTGTGTACTCCCGTAGTATGTGTACCTGGTTAGGGTTGGACCATAATTTTATTCAGATTTTCTTTATTATAGTTCTATTACAAGTTGGGGGACTGTCTCTGTTAGCCAAGTGAATGTCCCCCATGTCCATAGGTTTCAGTCTCTTTACACAACTTGATGTGAAATAGGCGAACAAAATTAGTTACCTCCATATTGGTACACATACTTCTGGAGCGCCCGTTATTGTACTAGCCAGGCAGACAATATTCTATATAATAGGACATGTCACAATAGTTAAATATATTATTAGAATGCGAACAAATTACATAAACTTTTCAGTGTAATAGCTTTTCCCTGTTTCCGTGCTTTTCCAATGTTTATAATATTTTTTCGGTGCTAACGAAGTATGTGCACCACGATGGCGCACAACCTGAACCTAGTATGTGTACTAGGTTAGGGTTATCAGGTTGTGCGCCATCTTGGTGCACATACTTCTGCAGCGCCCCTTTTTAAATATGAAAATACGAGATAGCGATCGGAGACCGCCGACTTATCGATATTCCGCACGTTCAATATTTTCCTCGACAATTTTGGCGGAGTACGATTTTACATGACTTATTCTCTTAAATTGTGCTTTATTGGTTGGCCACATTCTAAATAATTTAACCTGCTGAAACACACAGAACTGGATCGTTTTGATCAGTTTTCAGCCAATAGTCAATTTACCACCAAAAATGGCGCCAACTATCCTATATTTTGTGTCAAGTACAACGGCGCTAACCGCAATTGCGACGGCTATTCAACCACAACCAAGCGATATTTTGGTGAAGAAATAGATTTGGTTTCAGCCAATAGCCTATGCCAGAGGTCGGCAACCACCGCGCCGCGGCCCATCGTCGGTCCGCAGAAAGATTATTACCGGCCCGCTGTAAAGTGGCCGAATAGCGTACAAAGCCCTAATAACATCTTTACAAACCAGACAAAGACAAAGCCTCTGAGCAGCATGTCTGACTTCACAAACGATTTCCACGTCAATAGCTATGGCTAAACAAACATCAATGAAGCAATTCTCGTATAACTGTGTCCTAAAATATCTGACGAAACTGAGAGTGTAGATATACCGGGAACATTATTCGCGAAGAAAAAATACTTTGTATTTGCAATATGGATTCATAGCAATAAGTGACACCAAAGAAATTTGTCCAGTTTGTCATAATAAACTCTTAAAATGACTTGATTAAAATGATGCAATGAAGTCTTAGAAACTTTTTCGAAGACTGCGATTGTCTCGTCGACGACGAGATTGTGCTATATAGGGCCGTTGACTCAAATTTCAAATGAGTTAAAGAGCATCTTTGCGAAATATACTTTGGCAGTTTTTTGGTCTATAATCTTATATGAATACCCAGACGCATGCGACGCTGTTACCTTTGTCCTTATGTGAGGTCGGTGAGGTTTTCAATATTGACAACTACAAAAAGAAATACCAAAGTAGGCTGAACGTAAGAAACACGTAACGTTTATCACTATCAACTATGTCTCCATATTGGGATTAATTAATGGCCAGCAAACAAATGCAGATTTCGCAATAAATAGCATCTCCTTTGTTTTGAATATATTGTCAACACAAAGGTGGTGCGCCACAATTATTGTAGGGCTTTACCGGTCCATCACTTAAAAAAGGTTGCCGACCATTGTCCTATGCCATAGCCATGCCATATGGCGAACGTCGACTATCCTATAGCTCCATAGTTTGTGTCAAGTGCAAAGATAGTATACGACGGATGCGAGACTATCCTATAGCTTATAGTTGTTTGTGTCAAATGCAAAGACAGAATACGAAGGATGGTTCCGATTGGCTTTATACGATTCCATTTCAGTGATGTCGAAGCGGCGTGTAACCAAAATACCTAAACACTCAACATCGCAATGTTACCACCACACACAATCGCACGGAAAGGGGGATTCCCCAAAAAAGAAACTGCGGTTTCGATCGCATCGAAGACATGGCATTGTTACGCACACAATCGGTTTCGATTTCTTCGTTCTGAACCTCTAGCAACACCGCGTATCCAATCACTAATTAATTAATACTCGCTAATTATACGACATAATTCGCCCAAAATCAATAGGCTTCTGGTCCGAGATATGATGAATGCACATGCAAAATCTGCCGCAGATCCTGCAGCAAAATCTGCAGCTCACTTTCGTGAGATATCGCGTGCATCTAAGAGACACCTATCAACACACTTACCGATTAAAATCGATAAGTAATAACGAGCCACGCTTTGAAAACGCAATGTTGAAAGCGTGCCAGCTTGAGATTTTACTGCGCAAATGGTTTTAGGTGGTATAGCGCGATATCGAAGGGAACCGTGGTGGTAGTAGCAGTAATTGTCTTTTGTATCGAATTCAGTAACAAAACAGCAGAATCCCTCATTTCGTAAAAACTATGCCAAACTCATAGTTCTCGGCACGGCATTCTGATGACGGGTTAGCGTCAACCCTTCAATCCCGCTGCTGGGGTCATTTCGAGAAGAGAAATGTAAAGGCTTGCACAGCGGAACACTTGATAATAAATACGATCAGACAGTCACGAATGTGGATTATTAAAATATGTCGCAACATTTTTGTTTGCCTACAGCGAATCAATTAAGTAATGTTCACGAATCACGAGATGAGTGCAAATATTGGTCTTATTGGTTAAATACAACTTTATATTCATGCCTCGATGTAACATCTAATAATGAGTTAACTGTGTTTTGCCGGAAAATATTCGTATTCAAATGATTTAGTTGAAGCGCATTTAAATAGATGCACCTGGGAATACAAACTGGCGACGCGAACACTTTCAGCTGTTCACGAGATGAGTAGAAATAGTTGTTCTGTTAGTTAAATAAGACGACGACAATTTTATATTCATGCATTGATGTAATATCTAATAATGAGTAAACTGTCTTTTCGTATCTTACTGTTTCAGAGTTGAGTCGAGTCGCGTTTAAATAGCTACGCCTACGAATACAAAATGGCAACGCAAACTCTTTCAGCTGGCGCCAACTATTCGAAAGGAATTCTTGTTTCAATAAGAGAAATGACAGATACTTCTGACTTTACAATCAAAGTTGCCGGAAAATCATTCCCAGTCCATCGCAACGTAATAACAGCTGCATCAAGCTATTTCAAAGCGATGTTTTCAAGCAACATGAAGGAAGCCCAGCAAGGTTTAGCTAACATGAAAACTATAAAGCCCTCTATAATGGAGAAATGTATTGACTTCATGTATATCGGAGAAGTCAAAGTTCAAATTGATGAGATTCAAGATATTCTGCATGCATCTAGCTTACTGCAGTTGGATGCATTGACTGAACTCTCTTTTGGATATCTACAAAAGAATCTCTCGACAGACAATTGCCTCGTTGCGGTATACATAGCCAAACTTTATGATCAAGTTATTTTATTAAAATTAGCCGAAGAAATAGTTTATGATAAATTTGATGAAGTGGTTTCTACAGACACTTTTGCAGACATTTCATGTGACGACATCGCTCGCTATCTTTCTAAAGCAAAGGTAAGCCATGAAATAAAATGGAACGCAATTGTTAAATGGCTTTCTATTCGACATGAAGAAGTGGAACGTGCTCTGCCAAAGCTAATGGATTCGATCAAAAATATCCCGGCCAATTATTTGCTTGAAACGGTTTGTAATGAACCAATGGTGTTCAGAAACAACCAATTAGTCCAATGCGTCATTGGCCGTTTATTTTCAAGTATTCAAGATATTAAGAAAAATACCAGTCTAGAAAACTTCATAAATTTGAGAAAAACGTTGAAATCACAAAAGATAAAAATAAAAGGACAAGTTGCAATAGTGATGAATGACTTTATGGCCGTAAGTTTTGAGCAACTTGCCGAGAGAGTTGATTTCATCGAGTTAAATAGAGAAGAAATCTTTCTATTGTTTCAATCCCCGAAGATTGAATGTTCGTCCGAGAGAATCAAGTGGCATGCAGCTTTGAAATGGTCCAAGAATCAACCAAACAGTAAAAAAGTTTTTCCAAAATTATTCAAATCAATAAAACTTGATGATCTTCCACTGGATTTCATCGGGAAAGTTGTTCGAACTGAACCGCTCGTCAGGAATTCTCATGAATGTACCGTTATGTTGATGGATGCATTCTCTGCGCACGGGAGTGTTTCAAAGCATCCCAGCTCTGCAGCATCACCCAAGAAAGATCTAGATCAGCACATTGTCTTTTTAGACAAGAAAAATGGTCATATTAATACTTGGATCATTTCAAAGAAAACTTGGCATCGACTACCCAAAGTAAAAGAAGGCGACGACATGCAGATTGTTGATGTCAAAAACGATCTGTATGTATTAAGCGGATCTGAACTACTTCATCGGGGAGGGAATAATACATTCTGGTCGATGAAGGCTTACATGAGAGGCAAATCAGGATATGTTAAACTCGTCGCTTTTCAAGACAACATTTATCTTGTACACAAAAACTTCACGCTGTGCTATGACCCCCTTGGTAATAGGTTCAAAAATGATTTACCAGGTTGTGAATTAGGTTATGGGTTCTGTTCGGTAGCAACAAGCGCTTGCATTTATGCCATGGGTGGACTCAATACAAATCAAAGAGCAGAAAGATATAATCCAGATACAAACACTTGGTCAAGACTTTCTTCAATGCGCTATTCAAGGTGCCTCGCAACAGCTGTTGAATTCAATGGAAAAATTTTTGTAATCGGAGGCGAGGATGGACAACGTATATCGAACTCCGTTGAAAGTTATAACTTCGAAACCAATACATGGACGAGAGTAGCAAGGATGTGCGTTCCTCGGTGGGATCTCTTCGCCTTTGTGGATGATAAAAGCATATTTGCAGTAGGGGGAAAAAATGCTAATGGCTCGGTCAACTCTGCTGAAGTCTATGAACCGATATCAAACCATTGGTCAACATTACAAATAGATGGGCTTCCAACAGAAAGTTTTACAGGCTGTGCTTGCTATATGTAACATATTAACAATTCCAAAACATTACTCTATGCTCATAACTCAGTTCGTTACTGGCCCTCAAGTGACTTCCCGGATTGTGTGTTCCTCGGCTCCAGCTCTGAAAATATGATTTTACATATGAAGTCACCGAAAATTTACCATCTCACATTGATTAGTTAACATATATCATGATATGGTAATTCTGAAAACTGCATATTCATACATCACCAAATTTTATGTGTATTTATCGAGCTATCCGCTTATTTAATATTTAGAAGCTACTGTATTCATTACGGGTTTTGTGTTTATTTCCTGATGTTTGTCCTACCGTGTTTCTCCGAAAATAAGACAGGTTTTTATTTCAATTTTGTTTCGAAAAATATCACTAGGGCTTATTTTTGGGGAATGTCTTTTATTTTCATTTATCAAAAACAAAATTACAAAGTGCCCTGATGAGGCAAGGAGACGACTGTTCAAAGTTACGAGGTGCTAAAACCTTGCCCACTCCTAGTTTGGATCACCAACGATGGGGGGTCACCAACGCGTTGCCCGCGGGCACCAAGTCGCCCGTAAGAACCACATGAGTCGCCCGTAGGTCTGTTCTAAAGTAGCTCAACTAATGGGGCTTACCAGTAAGCTGCATTTATTAATTTTATTCTTGTTTAAATCACACTTACATGAGAACTGAAAATGACAATATATTAATCATTGTAACGATCAACCGTATCAAAATGTGACCTCAATAATGTCATTGTTGAAATAATACTGTTACAACTATGACATTACACACACTGAGTCAGCTTGAACCACGCGTGTCATTTAACTATGTACAACTATGCTTCCATGAACGTGAACGCAACAGGTCGAGAGCATGTAATGCGAGCTAACGGACGAGGAAATACACGTGTTGGTTCAAATGTACGTGAGTTAAACTGTAAAGGAACCAAATGGTACATATGCAAAGTCAATTTAATCTTAGTCCGCTTAGTAAATTGTAGTTGTAGTGTAAATTGTATAGTGACTTATGTCCTATAAGGAAGTAATAATCCACGCATATATCTGAAAAACGTCATTGTCTCAAGTCATACAATGACGATGCTCCATTACAAATGCTTCTAATTGTAATAGTTAAAGCTTGGTCGAGCAATGTACATCCAACTAATAGCCCTTAGCTTAATCGGTTCCCAAGAGGTAGCCCTTGGCTTCATAAAGTTTGGTGATCCCTGGTATAGATGATGCCAAACTTGAGCAAGTTGATAGATATTCATAAGTCAAAATTAAATAGCAATTCTTTGACTATCGAAAAAAATCGATACTGATGCATAATGAAGTAATAATCCATGTATATATCTAAAAACGTCATTGTCTCAAGCCATAGAATGAAGGTGCTCTCGATTGTGAACTTTCCCCGACTCCACACCCCCCAGATTGAAATATCAGCACACCATTGGAAATAGAGATAATGGATGGTATTTACAAATTCATCCCAGAAAAGAGGAAAGTCGATAAGACGGCCTAATTGTATGGAAAACCACGGCCTCTCGTCCGCTTACCAGTCCATGTCGGACATGAGATCGGTAACCCCGTTATTTATTTTCTGAAGCATTGTCTAATACTTATATATATATACATTTTTTTCTGTGGTAGAAGTAAGTTACTAGGAAAGCATGGACTTGATTAATAATAATTAGAGTCAAAATTGAGCAAATTGATTGACAGTCATAAATTAAATACCAATGGTTCGTATATTGGAATTGTATAGTGACGTAAAGAAAGTAATAATCCACGCATATATCTGAAAAACGTCATTGTCTCAAGTCATACAATGACGATGCTCCGTCACAAAGCTGAATAAGCCTAATTAGTGATAAAGTAATACAAATTATAAAGGTACGTTCCATATTGGGGACATTGTTCTTGAAATAATGTTTCATCGGTACTCCCGAAGAATGTGGAACCAAGATTGCGGACACCGGGACCTAGTATGTGTACCAGGTTAGGGCATAATTTCAGATGCAAATACTACGGGAGTCACTTGGCTAGTGCCTAAAATTGTGGAAATATAAAAATGGAATTGAAATAAAATTATGGCCTAACTCCACCCTGGTACACATACTACATTCCGGTGTCCGCCATCTTGGCTCACATACTTCGGGAGTACCGTTTCATCAAATAAAGATATAAAATATTAGAAATAGCAATGCCTTGTATGTTAAACTTTTATACCGACGCATAAGGAAGTAATAAACCACGCATATATCTGTAGATCGTCATTGTCCTGAGTCATGGAATGACGGTGCTTTCATCCGTCACAGCATTGGTGAAATCGTTTTAATAAGCTATTATTAGCGTATCAAGTGGGAGCGTATTGACTAATACTAACTTATAAAGATGAATTAAATATCGAGAACGTTGTTTCTGAAATCGTGCGCGATAGTAGATTCGTCTTATGTGGTGTCGCAAAAATGTCGTGCCTGCACTTGCCCCCTTTTTAGCACACTTGTCTCACTTCGCCTGGGAAGAGAGAATCCGAAAGGACGGTAGAATCATATGGCGAACCACGGCCTCTCCACCGGTTACCAGCAGTCCATGTCAGTATGGGATTAGTTAGCTAGTTATTCATTTTCGGAATCATGGACTTGTTATAGGTTAGGATCAGTGATGTTGTGGAAGCAGCCTAGCAATGGATGCATGTGTAGAGCCGTGTTCGTCGCGAAATGTGTATAAATACGTCGTATAATGATGGATAAAGTAAACATATAAAATGGAATGTTCTGGCTTAGGATAGCAGGTTAAAGTATTTATAATAAAGTGGTGGATTTCTTGTACAAAGCCCCCGCCCCTAATGCAAATGCGATTTCCTAGGTTTTGCAGAATAGCTTGGTTATACATTTTTTTAGTGAATACAAACCATATTTCCTATAAAAGGCAGACTGTGAGTGGAAAAGAGTGCGCCGTTGGTAGCATGTCAAAGTATTAAACCAGGCCAGGGTTCTTGGACTGAACCCTAGGGGTCAAAAACTAATACGTTCATTTGGTATCATTCGCGATGACTTCGTTGGTTTAAAATTAATTGACTTGATTTGCATGATTCTACGACTGTAATGCGTGTATTCGTTTGTTGGCGTTTTTTATCATTGAAAGTGGAACATAAAAAACAAGAGAGCAATGCGCAAATATATGGACACGTTAAACAGAGCGAAGCAGTCCTTACCTTTGACGCTACCCGTACCCTGAAAAAATTTTCGAGTTTCGCGTAGCAAGAATTTACAGAGTCAAACCGGACCGCCAGTGTTCCCATGTAGGGTTTTATCAATTCCAAAAAAAACATCGTGTTTTAAAACAAGGGCTTGTTTTAAATCAATTTTTTTTTCTGTATTTTTTATTGAAATACCCCATGCATCGCCGCCAAACTACGCCAAAACATTGCATTCTGGCAGCTGCACACGCAGCCGGAATTGTAATTTCAAAAATGTGAGTAAAATTTTTTATTTTGTTTTTTACTTCTATTCCGTACATTTATCGCCACGTTTGTATCTCCACCACAGTCATAAGATTTACCCGGAATGTTTAGCCGAGATACCAGAAAGACGTTTTGAGTAAGAAAAATCATGAAAATTAGCTCACGAGCCTACTACAAAGCACTTAGATTAGGTGCAGCCCTTCGGCAAAACGAGTGGGTTGCGATAATGAAGAATATGCTTATATCGGCGGTAATCCACTGATATAAACGATGAGACACCCTAACCTAGCCTATGTTAATTGTAAAAGTCCTCTGATGCAAAGACGCCACAACCAATCTGTTAGGGCGTCATAATATGCATTTCGAGTTCAAGTTTTTCAAGGTTATGCAATCTCATTTATTCGATCGCATTTCAATTTTCGCTAAGTTGTTTCATCGCAGCAGGGTCGTTCACGTAATGGCTTATCGGCTGCGTCTCACTGCGCCAACCACTGAGCTACAGCTTGAGAATGTGTGCATGAGCCTCTGTCGATATTTGTGGCGTTTTGAAAGATTTATAGCAAATAAAAAGCGCTTGGCAAGTTTTTACATCCCTTTTTCTTCAATCTATTTAATACAAAAAAATCAAATAGTACAGCCATTTTGAACAAAACATGCAAAAAAATTTGATTAAAAACAATTGTTTTAAAACAATTCTTTTTGAACAAATCCCTATTCCCATGGATAAAATAATACAGCAAAATTTTGAACAAAATATCAGATTCCATACGAAATTTAGAAATAACGACTTAAAATTTCAAAGCAATTGGTCCAGTATTCGAAGAAAAAAGCGCTTTTTATTGATAATGATGACGAACAAGTACAACAACATATTATTGAAACGATCGTAATGTCCACTAACGTGTCCAAAAACTGATTGGAAACGCGTTGAAAGCAAAATTAGAAAATTTTCGTTGAACAACAAGAAAAGTCTTTGAAAGGAAGTCGAGGATTATGGAAGTTTTAGAGCCATTTCAGAGTGTGTCTTCATGGCCATAATTTCAAGTATGTTCTGAAATAATCTTAATTAGATACTAGAACCCCGGGTACCGCTGCTTGATATTCAGCTTTGGTTCTACGCAGCTTCCCTTCCCCAGTAAAGTTATGTTTTTGACATTTTCGCATATTTTTTAGCATTTGTATCATTTATTGCATAAAAACTTCACATGGTTGTGATATAAAGAGTAATACACAATCTCACGTCATTGGATAATGTACGTCACAAAATGATTATTAGTGTGTGGGATTGCGTCATCTTTATTAGTTATATTCAGAACAAACTACGAGTGAGTGAGAGTGAATATGTGTTGCGTGAATTTATGCGTCAGGGTATTGAGCAACGTCAAAGAATGGGGCTCACAGGACCCGACTTCAACTATTGCGGGAATCTATGCGGAAAGCACGGGGTCAAGTCTAAGTATAAATGAGAATAAATATTGAAATGTATTTCTTCAAATTTTATGAACTGACTAATTTAGTCACTTCTTTCCTGGTTCACTCTCACTATATTTGATTTATATTTTGTAAATGGAATTTATTCAGCAAGTAATGATGATATAATCTAATTATTATTTTATGAGTTTGTATAACCTCATTTACTTTTTTACTCAGCAAACAAGGTGTCGCTGACACGATGACTTTGGTAGTCAATTGCTGAAATAAGCTTATCTGAAAAAGGCATATAAAATTAAACAAATAATCAGTTAGTCGATGCGTATAAATCTAAACTGAAATCTATATCTACAAAATGGCAAGTAAATCTCTGTCCGCTGGGACTGATTACACGAGCACAATCCTTCATTCAATCAGAGAAATGACAGAAACTTCTGACTTTACAATCAAAGTTACCGGACAATCATTCCCAGTTCATCGCAATGTAATAACAGCTGCATCAAGCTATTTTAGAGCGATGTTTTCAAGCAACATGAAGGAAGCCCAGCAAGGTTTTGCTGACGTAAAAACTGTAAAGCCTGCTATAATGGAGAAGTGTATCGACTTCATGTATACTGGTGAAGTCAAAGTTCAAATGGACGAGATTCAAGGTATTCTGCATGCATCGAGCCTACTACAGTTGGATTCATTAACTGAACTTTCCTTCGAATATCTACAAAAAAATCTCTCGGTGAACAATTGCCTTGTGGCGGCATACCTAGCTAAACTTTATGATCGAGTTAATTTACTGAACACAGCCGAACAAATAGTTTATGATAAATTTGATGAAGTGGTTTCTACAGACACTTTTGCAGCCATTTCATGTGAGGACATAACTCGTTATCTTTCCAAAGCAAATGCGAATCATGAAATAAAATGGAAGGCAATAGTTACATGGCTCTCAATTCGACAAGAAGAAGTGGAACGTGTTCTGCCAACGCTATTGAATTCGATCAAAAACATCTCGGTCAATTTTTTTCTTGAAACGATTCTTAATGAATCAATGATGTTCAGAAAGAAACAGTTAGTTCATTTTATAGTTGATCGTTTATTATCAAGCATTGAAGAAATTATAAAGAATATCAGTCTCGAAAACTTCATGAATTTGAGAAAAATCTTGAATACACAAAAGATAAAAATAGAAGGACAAGTTGTAAAGGTCATGAATGACTTCATGGCGGAAAATTTTGAGCAGCTTGCCGAGAGACATGATTTCGCCGAGTTAAATGAAGAAGAAATATTTTTTTTGTTTCGATCCCCGAAAATTAAATGTTCGTCCGAGAGAATCAAGTGGTATGCAGCTTTGAAATGGTCCAAGAATCATCCAAACGAGAAAAAAGTATTTCCAAAATTATTCAAATTAATGAAACTTCATGATCTTTCATTGGATTTCATCGGGAAAGTTGTTCGAACTGAACCACTTGTCAGGAATTCTCATGAATGTACCGTTATGTTGATGGATGCATTCTCTGCGCACGGAAGCGTTTCAAAGCATCCCAGCTCTGTTGAATCACCCACGAAAGTTCCAAGTCAGCATATTGTCTTTTTAAACAAAAAAAATGGTCAAGTTAATGCTTGGAGCATTATGAACAAAACTTGGCATCGACTACCCAAAGTGAAATTAGGCGAAGACATGCAGATTGTTAATGTCAACAACGATCTGTATGTATCGAGCGAATCTGAATTATTTCACTGGAAAGAGGATACATTCTGGTCAAGGAAGTCTTATATAAGAGACAAATCTGGATATTGTAAACTCGTCGCTTGTCAAGGCAACTTATATCTAGTGCAGCGGTACAACATGCAGTGCTATGATTCTATCCGTAATAATTACAAAAACAGTTTACCAGGATGTGTATTAGGTTATGGGTTTTGTGCGGTAGCAACAAGAGCGTGCATTTATGCCATGGGCGGACTCCATACAGATCAAAGAGCAGAAAAATTTAACCCAGTCACAAAAACTTGGTCAAGACTTTCTCCAATGCTAAATCCAAGGCACCACGCTGCAGCTGTTGAATTCAATGGAAAAATTTATGTTATCGGAGGCGAGGATGGAGAGTGTATATCGAACTCCGTTGAAAGTTACAACTTCGAAACCAATACATGGACGGAAGTAGCAAGTATGTGCGTTCCTCGATGGGATCTCTTCGCCGTTGCGGACGATAAAAACATATTTGCAGTAGGGGAGAAAATGCTGATGGCTCGACCAATTCTGTTGACGTCTATGATCCGAATTCAAACCATTGGTCATTTACAAGAATAGATGGGATTGCAACAAAAAGTTTGCTTACAGGCTGTGTTTGCCATATGTAAAATATTACAATTAAACAAATCTATGCAGAACATAATCCATCCCATAACTCAGTTCGTTACTGGTTCTTAATGTAATGGGCCAAGTGGGGCGGGACTGTTTGTTCCTCGGCTCTGGCCTTCATATGTATTCTGAAAATGTGATTTAACATAGGAAGTTGCTGAAGAGTTGCTTTTAATAACCTCGTAGTTCATTTTCTATCTCACATTGATTAGTTAACATATCTCCTAATGTGATAAATAGTTCTGAAAACTGCATAAATATACATTACCAAATTAAATGTGTGTTTCTTGAGCTTATCCGCTTATTTAATATCTACTATATACATTTTGCGGTGTCAATTTCTTAACTTAATACGTATTTTTCCGTGGGCTGGCGCGCATATCATTTAAATCGTGAGGTTGTTATAACTGCAGATCGGACAATATTTTCTCGCTTGAATAATGACATTTTATATGCTGTACACGTGCGCCAATCAGGTTAATGTGATTTTATTCCTAATTCACACCTTCTTCTACCGTGTTTCCCCGAAAATGAGACCTACATAGTCTGAATTTTGAAAACGATTTTAATATAAGCCCTCTCCTTTCGTTAAAATAAGACCTAATGACGCGAATTTTTATTAGACCTGGTCGATATCAAGAAATTTCTTCTACGCGTTTTAAATTATTACTAAACTATGTTTTGCAGGTATTTTGGATAGAGTAAATGGATATCGATTTTCATAATATTTCGTATATTTAAAAATCTCGTTATTCTCCACTTTGTAATTTTGTTTTTGAACATATAAGACATTCCCCGAAAATAAGCCTTAGTGCTATTTTTCGGAAGAAAATTGAAAAAATGACCCAGTCTTCTTTTCGGGGAAACACGGTATGTGTAAATAATTCAGTGAATCTGCTCGAGATTTTGCATGTGTATTCATCATATGTCGGACCAACAGCCTATTGATCTTGGGCGAATTATGTCGTATAATTAGTGAGGTATTAATTAATTAGTGATGGGACACAAGGTGTCACTATTGAGTAAGAGCGCTGTTTTGGGGATCCCCTAACTTTCGATCGATGAGTCTTCGGTCTCTGATCGATATTCTCGTTTTGTTGAGTTGTTACTTATCTATTTTAATCGATAAGTATGTTGATAGGTATTTGTCTGTCTGTCTGTTAGATGCACGCGATATCTCACGAAAGCGAGATTGAATCTGCTCGAGATTTTGTATGTGTATTCATCATATGTCGCACCACAAGCCTATTGATTTTGGGCAAATAATGTCATATATTTAGTGAGTTATTAATTAATTAGTAATGGGACACAAGGTGTCACTATTGAGTAAGAGCCCTGTTTTGGGGATCCCCTAACTTTCGATCGATAAGTCTTCGGTCTCTGACCGATATTCTCGTGTTACAAATTGTGAGGTTCGAAAACTAGTTCGAGGCGAAAGGCAAGAGTTAGCGTCATATTACGTCATTAGAAAACAAAATTGGCAACCCCAAAATTTGGGCCGACTACGTACTTTCCCAGAAAATCTGCTATAGTTTTTGTTCACTTTTATTTGAAATAACAATGATTCATTTGCCAGTAACCCTGGCCTCTCCCGCGGTAGATATTTACATTTCTTTATTTTGGATATTTACGTTTTATCCATGTATTTTCAATGTGTATTTTGAATAAAACATACTTTCGCCTCACTATCAGTTATTTGTAGGTGGGGCGCGTGATTTAACAAATTCTAAAAAGGGGGCGCGGATTGAAAAGTTTGAGAACCACTGTTCTAGAACAGGGGTTCCCAAACCAGGGGTCGCGACCCCAAATTGGGTCGGAGTGATAAATAGGTAGGGTCGCAACCAGGTCATGGGGTCGGTGAGGTATGGTGGAGAATGGATGCACAACTCATCTAAGATTTGACAAACCATGTTAAATTTAGCAGTTTGTACCATGGCCTAATGTAAAACAGGCCCATAGGCATCGCTCTATTCTTTTGTTATTGAAAATGTAGGTTTTTATTGTGACATCACTGTTGGGTTTTAGCTTATTTTACTTAATACCACCACATGACCAAACTCAAAAGTCCAGTGAAAGAAGCTCTAAAGTTTCATGAAAAATATATATATTGACCAGGGGTCGCACTGGACACTTGAAAGTTGTCTTTGGGTCGTCCTGAAAAAAGCTTGGGAACCCCTGTTCTAGAACATATTCACATCTCACGATTCTGTGAACTAATCAACGTAATCATAACAGTGGGATCGAGTCGTTAACCATTTCTTGGCATCAACGTCAGTTGAAGACGCACTGCGTAATTTTTTGCGTCGTTGCGTTGCGTAAGTCATTTGATAAATTAACTTTGGTGTTTCGCTTAACAATTTCTGTCAGAGTCTTATGATGCATTTAACAATTATTTTTGTTTCGGCTCCATAATTGCGTAACTTTTATAATCAATGGTTCACAAACCACGCAGATTCTACGTCATTTGCGTCAATCTGCAAAGCGATAAAGTAACTTTGCGTGAAAATGGTTGTTCTATAAATATAATTAGTTTTATGTATATATATTGACTATAAATATATAGTCAACGAATGTTTTTTGTAAGATGTTAGACGACCACAGCAAATAGGTAACGTGCACCAAAGCTGACGACTAGATTTTAGATACGCAAACCGCTTTTTGTTACGTTATAATATTATGCTTTTGTTTAGTGTTGTGCGTCATAAGACGGGTTAATTCACGAATTTTGCATTGCTCACGCGTACCACTAATAATTAGTTTCCCGCATTCATGGAAAAGCTGAATCAAGTTCTCACTTATACTGACAAGTATATATGTACAAAAAACGAAGGGAGAGGTTATTTTTCGATTCCATTTCTTGGGGAAATTGCATAAGCAAAGTCGCCAATATTACATAATACATAATGTTTCTATAGCTGCCCAGCGTTACCTTTACTCCGTTTAGGTCAGATAAATAAATAAATACACCCGCTGAGTGGATTCGTCATCATATTTTACAGCAGCGTGATGATTTCATTCCCCGCGTACAAAAATAATGTTCCCTTTCGATATTTATTTTTCAAATAAAATATTCGATTCAAGGCATCATGTTAGCAACGTAACACCAGTGATGATTTCATTCCTCACGGATAAAAAATGTTCCCCCATGTATTTCAGTGTTCTCAGGCAACAAATTAATTCTATACTTTTTCAATCTTCTATTACTGTTATTGAGTATATGTGTTAATTTTATTTTCTCATAATTTCGAAATTAAGCCATTTTTCTGCCTTTATGTTTAATTAAAACAGAGATAAAGCAGATCGGGCTTACTGTAAAAGCAGCAGAATTCACAGCCTCAAATGTTCCTACCACAAAATAAAACAAATTATTGCGTTATTGGTTTTTTTATTCCGAGTGGAATAATGTAGTTTAGTTACTTCCAAAGAACTGATGATAAACTACTTTCTTCCGGTTCTCGAGCCAATGTGATTCACCTGATTGGCCACGTAAGGATGTCATGGAGTTAAAATAAGAAACGGTAATATTGTGACACATGCAGCGAAATAACGACCATAGAAGTTAGTGGGGTGTAGGATAATTAGATCTTGCTGGACTACAACTATCTTAAGCTAGTAATATAGAGTGAAGTCTGCCACATCATAGCGTAAAATTACCTCAAGCTAGTTACTAGTACTATGGATGTCTCCCCGAGCATTTATTTCCGTAACAATGACCATTCAGCAAAAGTCAACGATGACGTAACGATTGGAACACTTCGTTCGCTCAGACAGATATTCAAGCATGGTTATAACAATGCTTCATTTTTGCGGTTTTGCGAGTTATTTGTCAGTCTTTAGCTGTGTTTTCAAAAATTAGTTGTAAATAAAGTATTTTAATTGTCATTATGTCTTCCGATGAGCTTTAGTTTAGCTGCAATAATCAAATATTATTCTCGAGAAAGCTGCGATAGACTAGGCTAAAATTTAGATATTAGTAAAATTAGCTATTAGTAAGGTTACAGTGGTCTGCTGGTCTGCCATACTTCAGCAAGGGCGTTTTACTCCGATAATTTCAGCAGTACCTCAAATAATTTTCATTAAAAAATCTTTTCCACTTCTTGATCCCAAACATGCATTTTTTGTGCATTTAGGTATTAATTTCGATTCTGTGAGTTAATTGGTTGAGTGAATAAATAGTTCCACCATTGGAGGCATCCGGAATTTAATAGTTATGGCTAGCTTTCTAATTAGTTTGGCTTCATGCACCCGAATCAAGTGGTTGATGTAGGAATGGTGACCGTACATTTGAACCCACGTACATTTGAACCCATGTGTATATCCACGGGTTCAATCTATATGCGGGTGCTAAAACCCATGGGTTAGGGTTAGTATGGGTTCAACTATCCGTAAAACAAAAAAAATTTCATAGGTACAATAGCATACAGGTGCAATTGTCATGGGTTCAAATGTACGTGGGTTCAAATGTAATGGAACCGAAACAAATACCTGGCTAACTAATCCCATATCCGACATGAACTAGTTATCGAACGAGAGGCCGTGATATTTATAGAGTTATTGCCAAGTTGAAACGCTTACCCGTCTGAGTGCGATAGGTTAAGCCTTTCCCAGTCCTATTTGATATATTCTCCCTTTTTTCGATTTTTTAAATTTCTTCACCTCTTCTCCCGTCTTAAAACAAGACGATTTAAAATCTTAAAATGACTGTTGCAGTTTTTGAACGATCGCTCGTGAATGTTTTGTTCCACCATCACGCATAAGCTCGGTTTCATTTCGTATTTCAGGTATTTCAGTCCCTAATTGGTCTTTACATATTGATACCCCCCCCCCCCCCCTTAAATCTCCCCAGTGGGGAAACGCTTGGTTAATTTATTACTTATTTTAATCAATAAGTATGTTGATAGGTATTTGTCTGGTTTGTCTGTCTGTTAGATGCACGCGATATCTCACGAAAGTAAGATTGGATCTGCTGCAGATTTTGCATGTGCATTCATCATAGCTCGGTTCAGAAGCCTATTGATTTTGGATGGATTATGTCGTATAATTAGCGAGTTATTAATTAATTAGTGATGGGACACACGGTGTCACTATGGAGTAAGACCACTGTTTTGGGGGATCCCCTAACCTTCGATCGATAAATCTTCGGTTTCCAACCGAATTCTAGTGCATTTAGGTATTAATTTCGATCCTGTCAGGTAATGAATTGAGAGAACAGATAGTTCCGCCTTGGTTGGCATCCTGAATTCATTTTAATATTCATGTCTGCACCACAAAGTTTTCTCATAAAATTTTGTTTCCTATTTGCAGAACACCTATTAGGTTACGTTCGCGCTTACATCTCTGGGCGGGATTAGGTTAAGAAAGTGGTCCCCGACCTTTTTTGATGCATTCGTCGCATTTCCGATTTAAAACTCTCAATCCTCCCCACCTTAAACAGAACAATTCAAAACAAAATCTTAAATTACCGGTTGCAGCTTTTGAACGATCGATGGTAAATATGTTATTCCACGACGACCACGCATAATTACGGTTTCATTTTGTATTTCAATCCTTAATAGGTCGTTACATATTGATATGCCGCACCCCTCCCCCCTTTTTTTAAATCTCTCCGATG